AGGCTGAAGAAGAAGCTGGGAAAAAAGATCAAGGGACTAGAACAATTTCCTAAGTTTCATTACATGGAGCGTTTCCCCATAGTTGGATATAATAAAACATGTATCAAGTCATGAATTGTCATCCTGGATCATCCAGTGAAGGGTGGAAAACTCAAGATATCTTTCTACAGTGCATAAATATACTATGGTACTTGCTACTATGGCTTTGCCATGTTTCAGACTCAATCCCATAAAGATGTTTTGAACTGCACAGGAATGCAAATGGAGTATCTGTCTGCAGCTTGCTTCAGCAGCTGTGCTTTTTTCCTGGATCACATGGCAGCTGGGCAATCCCATAGCTGACTTAAGAAGATGCAGACAGGTACTACCTTTGTGTCCCCACATGCTCCAAAGCACCGTTTTGGAAATGAATCTGAAGCACCACGCGATCCTATTTACTACTATATACAATACTTAAAAGCTAGGACAACTTTAAAGAAGTATAAGACAAATTTCAGGGAGGATAAAGCTATTGGTGGTTACTTGTCACATTCTTCTTATGTAAGTACTTCCTCTCAGCTGTTCCTTCTCTGCGCTCAACTAAAATGGTTCTTCTTACCCGAAAGTGGAGGTGGGAAAAACCATCTGTCAGGGCAGCCCAGTCAATCTGCAGGGGTTCAATGCAGCTACTTCTTCCAAAGCCTACACCATATCCAATCGCTTTCTCCTTGTCATCCTTGTTGATCTGAATCATCCTTGCAGGTCCATGGCAAGAAGCCTGCTGCAAGGATAGCTTAGATTGGCTGCCCTGTTATTTCACCCTTTGGGGTGGCCACTAAGGTATAGGAGCCTGTACTTTTAAAGCTTCCAAGGAAGGGTTGTTTGAGAGTTGGGTGGCCCAGAAATGTGACAAATTAAATCACATTCAACACACTCTTGGCATTTTGAAGATGCCTATAGTTATAGAACTGAAAGGGTCCACAAGGATCACCCAATATGCAGGAAGACTAATTATGAATTGGCTCCCTGGGATATCATATCATTGATTTGATGGGACAGGGATTACACGATTGGGTGATTCTGTTTCCCGCTGTGTCGTAAAGAACGCTTGATTATGCTTTATTTATTTACATTCAAAGTATATGTTGGAGCCAATTAAAGCTGCTGTTGAAAGAAACGATTGTTATGAGAGATTTCCATAATGGTAACACCTGCTCTTTTGCTCAGAGTCACCCTTATCACATTGTCATACCATTAATCACTAGGAACAAGGAGCAGTGGTAGAGCTATTCACCACACAAGCCATCCAATTGAAGTATCTATACAGTACAGTTAAATGTGGAAACTTGCTAGGAAGCTAGAACTTGATCCTCTTGGACTCTCGCAAATGACCACATCTTAAACCTATCATAATACATAACATGGAGTTCTACACTGAGATTGGTGTGCACAGTGTTCTACAAAGTACATGGAAGAGTGCAGCTCAAAGAACTGACAGGCCAAGTTACATGCACTATAATTACAACCAAGTACAATACTGATTTTGCTAAGGCCTGATGGAAGAGGCAACATACAGACTCTTTTTTTAAATGCATCCTGGGATAAGTAGCAAAAATATATAAAGGGTAAGGCTGGAATATGGGAATAAGCAAAGCCACAGAAAGCCAGGTGAGGGCGGAAAAAACCAAAAAGGAAACAAAGAAGTCTCAGGAACACTGGAGGGAAACTGAACACAGAGTGCCAATGCATTGCACATACATACAAACACACATACACAGGCCCACCAAACAGATTGGGAATTCTTGCAGGAAGGGAAAGACAAGGCAATTTGCAAATGACATCCAGACTGCCAAGTTATAGAAGCTCTCAGATCCAGGGGGACCAAGGGCAAGCATGGTACCTTCTTTGCTAACTCTAGAGCAGTGTTGTCCAAACTTGGCCACTTTGAGTGGACTTCAACTCCCAGAACTCCCCAGCCAGCATGGCTGGCTGGGGAATTCTGGGAGTTGAAGTCCACTCATCTTAAAGTGGCCAAGTTTGGACAACACTGCTCTAGAGACTCTCAATGGGATTGGAGGGGATGAGTCTTCAGCCTTCACTGTTAAGAAGCTCTCACAGTGTACCTTTGCCTCTTACCCATGGAGGTCATACAAGGAGGGGAAGGCTATCCCATTCATCCCACTCCTACTGATTGCAAGTAGATTTACACTATTTTCATTAAACAGAGTTAGGTCCTCTAAAGTATTCTCCAGGTTTTTCTGGTCATGCAAGCTACCTCTGTAAGCACTTTTGCTCACCAACATCAAAGACTTTTTCAGCTCTTTGCTGTTTGCCCACCAACAAATCCACCTGCAGCATCTGATTTCTAGATGATGTCAGGGTAGACTGGAAATTACAGTGACTTTTGGCATGTCTTTCCTCCTCTTACTACAATTCTTACTCTGCACTTCCTTCTTGCCACTGCTGCTTCATCAGCCATATACCCAAAGTCCTCAAAATTGGGACCGAGCCAATTCTTATTATTATGCAGCACCAAACATGCTATAAAAAGCTGTTCTAAAAATGAATTTTTAAACAAGTGCAAGTTTAATATTCATAGCCTCTTACTGTTCCTCCTTTTCCCTGGGCGCTGTAAATTTAAAAACACATACTCATACACATATCAGGATTCAATGTCTGAAATTAATTCTGCAAATTCTGGGCTTCTTCAGAGGAACTGCGGAATTAGGAAACACTAACAATTGAGAAATGTTACTATCAAAAATGCAGCTACAAAAAGCACCAAATGAACTGAACAGGACTCTTGTTATCATTTTCAGCAACGTTTTCACCATAACAGACTTCACTTAAAGAAAATGCTGCTGCTGCTGCTGCTGGTGATGGTGATATGATGATAAGAGGCATATCACAAATGTGATTATTTTTTCGCTGGCTATTAAGATTAAAAACAAGGATTTCTTCTCTTCCAAAAGAAAATGAGCATTTCAAAATGAGCATTAAAGAGTGGTGTGGAAAAACATGTTTCAACCCTCTATACAAACCATACAGATGTGATTTCCCTACTATGACACTACCAGAGCAGCAAGGGGGAAAAAATACCACCACCTTTGGCATCATAAACTCGGAGAGTTGAGCAATCCAGAGCAGGAAGGTTGGAGGGGGGGGGATGTAAAGAAAGACAGTCTATGTGTGGACCACTGGGTGGGGTGGGGGGGTGAGATTAAATATTAATTCTTCTTGGCAAAGAAAAAAATGGTGCATTGTTTCTTAAAGCCATCAGCTTTCCAAAGTTTTTTCCCCCCCAAAGAGAACCGACTTTTCCCAAATTTTTTAAAACACACACCATATACACACAAGCTTCCATTTTCAGAAAGCAGTGCCTAAGAGCGAAAGAGAAAGACCCAAAGAATTACATCAATCATTAAACAGTTAAATGAAGTTAGGATGACAGTTACTATTGTTGTCTTTAAGCACTCTTGGCTTTTCCAAAGCAGCTGCCAGATCCTATTAGATGTATAAAAAGAGGATGTTTTAGACCAAAGCGGGTTGGGATAGACTATTGAAAAGTGGAGACAATAGCGGACTTCTATAAACTCCTCAAGTCCTGTATAACATCTGCCCAGAATCAATTTTTGACTTAATGTTTCTTTCACTGAATATTAGATTTACTATCCAAATGCAATTTGTTCTCTGGCCTGGAATTGCCACTTGGGGCCCAAAGCAACGAGCTGCAACCCGCTGCCAAGGCCTCCTGCATCGGCCCCATTTAAATTAGAACTCAAACAAACAAATGAAGCCTTTCTTGGATTTTATAGAACTCGTACGGCATGTCCTAATAAGAGGTCCTTAGGTGTCTCGAGCCCAGAAAGACCACGGTCCTACAGGGCAAGAACCTTGTGCAGGACACCTGTCTAATGTCTTATTCTCCATGGAAAACACAATCTCAGAGAATCATATGAAGGACTGTTTCAACTCCTAGAATAAGAAAGAGGCCCACATGCGTGAGTTCGCATGTCAGGCTAAGCCATGGGTTGGCCGAAAAAATATCAACTGGTTTAGTTTTCATGTTGGGAGGACATAGTGTGCTAATCTAAAGCAGAGCAACCCACATTACAGGTTAGCATTTTATGTGAATGAAATCATTTTGCATGAGATATGTAAGCATAAAGGCTGTATTCATACATTATGCTAAGCCACAATGTGAATGGCTTTATTTATTTTTTCTGTATAAATCCAGCCAACCGTGGCTCATTCAAATAAACAATAGTTAAACAAACAATGACTTAATGCACTGACCAAACCCAGTCTTAGACTCGTAGTATGGGAAACATTATTATAAGCAGATTGGCTGGGTTCATACAACCCATTAAATCTTAAACGTAAGTCACACAATTGTTGAGTATATATAACACAGTATGCCCAAATAAATAATAAACTATTTCACAGCTTAATATCATGGCCTGACTCACAAAACATGTTAAGACTACCCAACCCCATTTGAGTTCAGCATAATGTATGTATGAACCTAGCTGCTCTCTCCCTCCCAGGATATGGTAAGAACCACTGCCCTGTTTTAACTTTCCACCTGCATTTGCGAAATAGAGGAAGTTGACTTCGCAAAAGTGGAGATCATGAAACAAGCTCACAGATGATCCATCCCCCTAACTACTCCGGGGCATAATAAGAGGACCAGAGAAATAGAAATGGTTTCCTTGAGCTGTATCAGGATGCAAATGTGTTTTTCGTTTATTTTAAGATGGTTCACTGCCCAGAGTCACTTACTGAGATGGGCAGCCAAACAAACTGAACGAATGAATGAATGACCCAATCCAATATTCGTAGAAGTGGCAACTTTTCAAAAACCTTTGCTTCATATCTTAAGCAAGGACCGGAAAATCTTGTCTCAGATGCTATAGCTATCTAGTTCTGTAACTCAGAGCTTATTTCCTCATTCTGTGATGCTTTATTAATTTGTCTTCAGATTGGCTGTGAACACAGTTAAAAAGAAAAGTTCCACTTACCCATAGGGTCTCTGAATAAGAGCCGGATGTAACTGCTGCACCCCTAAGGTAAAACCTAGAGAAAAATGGTTGAAGCAGAGTTAAACTAGATTATGCAACATGTTGCTTATTCAACAGTGCAATTCAATGATAGGCCCGTGCATCTTATCACTTTCACATTTTTCAATTTTTAGTATACGCTGGGCTATTTTGGACTGCGCTAGAATGGTTTATGATATTGCAAGTCTTCCGTTTCTTTAAAACTTTCAACCCTCTCTTACACACCAACTTTTTTTAGCCACATGACCCTTGGGTAGACTAATTTTACCGCTGACAGTCACGCCTCCCCAGACATCTATATTAACACACACGTTCACATCTTTTACTGCTTTCTACTCAAGTGCCTACAGTTTATTTATTTATTTAGACTATGATTAAATGCAATTCTCTTAATGTTCATCCTGAGATTGTAATACATTTACATTTTTTTTCCTTTTGGTACAACTTCTGGAAGCAGAGCAATAAATATTAAAAAAAAAATAACTTCAGTATGATCTATTGAAGAGTGTTTTAACTCAAAATAGGGTCTCCTTGGTGGTCTCTATTTTTGGCAAGGAAAGTTCCAAAAATATGGTTCCTAGGTCAAGTAATACCTACTGCAGTAGATGCATTTAAACCACATCCTAAGCTTTATTAGCATTAATCTTGGTTAGGTTTTCCTTAATCATTTACCATGCTGTGAACCCAGACCACTGAGTTAGCTCACAGTTCTGTAAACTGTGCACACCAAGAAAATCGTTTAATTCAGTAATCAGGTTCAATATGTTTTGTGAACTGAACTAGAGTGTACCATAAGAGGAGCTGCATAGCTTTTGTAGAAAAATCCGTATATTGCAGAAAGCCATGTTCAAAATCTGCATAATGCTATTTTTTTTCTGGAAGTTTTTTAAAAAGACGATTAAACAAGAAATTGCACAGAACAGAATAATACTCAGATAAATGACCCTTTGGTAGATAAATGCAGCATTGACATGGACCTGATTTATACAAATCCACTCCTCCCTAATTGCAAATATTTGGCTGCAATTTTTCAACTCTGTATACAAATTCAAATCACTTTCATCTTTGTGCAATTTCCTTCTCTTTCTACAGAACATTTTTAATGCATGCTCAAAACTGCAGATTTATGTACACACTACAATATATTTGAATACGTTTTCTATTTTGTTTTACTTAAAAAAAATTAAGATCTTCAGCTTATATCATTATAGTTTCTATTTCATAACTTATACAGTTCTAGAAACTGATGAAGCAGAATGTAAATTGAAGTACAGAGCCCAAGATTTCTTTGGCTTATTTCCATCTGCATGTGTGAAATTCTATGGTTTCCCTTCACTTTGGCTTTATTTACAAGTGTGAAACTACCAGTAATCCTGTTGTCTTCAGGAACCTCACAATTTGGCACTCTACATAGGGGAAACTTTCTTTATTAATGAAGCAGCAATACAGCTGCATATACACAATGGGACACAGAATCACAGAGTTGGAAGGGACTGGCTATTGAATCCACTGAATCTAACCCTCTTTCATGCAAGGATCCAAATTAAAGTCTCAATGATCACACCAAGGAAGAGAAGCCAGCACCTCTCTGGGTCACTGGTTCCACTGCTCTTACTCCAAGGAAGTTTTTTCTAACCTTCAGGTTATACCCCTGAAACTTAAATCTATTATTCTGTGTCCTGCATCTGAAACAACAAAAAACAGGTTCTGACTTTCTTCTGTATAACATCCACTCGGGTATTTGAAGAGTGCATTCATGTCCCCCCTTACTCTTGAGGCTAAACATACCCAGTTCCTTCAATTCCCAAACTGGTGCCTGTTGGTTCGCACCTTAATGCCAATAGGCTGTGTAGTGAAGTACAACCAGAGCCCATATAAGCCCCCACCCCCACAAGAGGCATTCTGAGAAATTAAAATGGTGGCATGGTTGCAGCCCAAGACCATGTTTGGAAGTGTGTTCATCTACCCGGCGGGGGAAAAGTCAACAGTAAGATTGTTTTAATTTTAAGAAATTAAGTGAGAAGCTAACATGCATCAAAGCAAAATGCCAGCTCAAGCATTATCGTTATTTCCAAGAATGTTTCTGGGCTCAGAAGCTTTCTTGGAAAAACAAAATGAGAGGACTTTCAGGCAGTCTTCTATTTGGAAATGTGCCTACTCTCCCTACCAGGAGAAAGAATACAGAAGAAGAGGTGGGACAAAGGATTCTGGGAAGTTAGACAAGTTGGTGGGAAGCAATCTTACCAGTTTGCCTTCCAGTTAATGGGTGTTAGGTGACTGGTCACACTCATCGTGGCAGCCATTTTGTGAAAGTGCTTGTGACATGCTCTCACAATTTCAAATCTGCACACAGTTGGGGAAAACTGAACAATACATGCATATTTTAAAATATGTATCTAAATGGAATTTTAAGGGATTTTTAATTTCTTTTGAACAGCAAATTAGGGATATGCAAAACACTTCAAACTGGACTATCCCAAATTGAAAACACCCTGTTTTGAGCACAAAACAACCCTTTCAAGTATTATGGAAATGCTTCAAGCTTGCAACAGAGTTTCACACTCAAAACAGTCAATCTTGACACATGTCCAAAGGGCTCAAAAAACAGTTTTGGGACACCCCTGAAACAACTGATTTATACTTAAAAAAAAAATGTGTTTTAAATTTGAAATGTTTGCCTATACCTAGCAAGAAAATGCAAATATTTTAAAGCATACAATTGATGAGGTCATGGGGATGATGCACAAATTCCTTCTCCCAATTCTTGCTTTGCTTTGGATGTGCCCATTTTGGGTATCATGACCAATTATGATTCAGGCAAACAATGAAAGGAGAAACCTTGGATAAGAATAAAGAGGAGAACTTTCACATCCCTTCTACTGCCTGACCCTGGTCAACTGCTACAAAAGCTTGCCCAGCTTTTATACTTAAATATAAATTCCAGACGTTGGTTGTGTGAATATTGATCTTTATCCCCAATCATGGTTTTCGTCAATTGTGCTTTCATATAATGGTTATTAGTAAAATAGAGAAGATACATACTAGGTTACCAGCCTTAGTCATTCCTGTCCCACATCTGTTAAGCTTCATACCAGGCTCAACTGTAAATCTCAGATCTCCAGATAGGTAACCTCTTATTCAGGAAACAGCTTATTCAGCAGAAGGTACTCAGACATGATTTGGATGAATTAGTCTCTTTTTCAATAAGAATAAAGCCACATACACAGAGAAGCTCTGTCCACTTCAGGACTCAGAAGTCCAAATTTTCTGATCCAACAGATACTGGCTGCTCTCTTGATGGCCTGGAAAGCTCCTGATCTATGTTGTCATCTGAGAACTGCTTCTCTAACCTGGGAACTGCCTTACCAACTTCATTCCTTACAACATGCAACATTCCCTACTAACAGTAAGGACAGTGCGTGTCAGTTTTGCCCAGAATGCCACGAGTGCAAGCAATGCCCAATTTTATCCCAAACATGCTCATACTATTGTATGTAAGCTAGAATCTCTCAGCCAGAGACTACCTTACAAGCCAACATACTGTTGCACATATCCCATCATGAAGGGCATGAAAAGTGGTACTACAGGAAAAATGCATAAGGATCAAACTGCAAAACAAATATATGAAGGAAGAATTAATGAGTCAAGATGAAGGGGAAGATGGAGAAAGTTGTGGTTGGATGGAGATGATAAGATCCTCAAAAAGACAGAATTGAAAAGTTTAAAGAACAAAAGTCAATATATAGATATGAGGGATGTAAGCATGGCTTGCAAGAATAGGAAAATATAAAGATGCATTTAGATTTAGTTACTTTTTCTTTTTCTTTTATTTCTTGCCTTTAATTTATGTTGTTTTATTACTTTTTACTCTTTTTTCTATGCATTGAATAATGTTACTTAACCCATAAGGAGCAGAACAATGGGTATGTACGTATATACACTGGCTTCATCTACACAAAACAATAAAGAACTATGGTTAACTTTGGCTTACTGCCATGTACATCTAATCACTATGGCTTGTGGCCTACGGTTTATGACTTACTGTAATGTGAGGATCCAGTTACTCTGGATTATTTAAGCCACTGCTTAGGACAGTGTGCAAACCCAGCCAGTGGTGCACAATGCTAAACCAAAATTAATCATGGTTTATTGAACAAACCACAAGGGTCTGCATCACACAAACTGGTAAATGTTTCAAATATATACACTGTATTTTCCTAACTGTGGTTGTAGACAAAGGTTGCATTTTGAATTCTCTTGTATGTCACTTTGAAAGTCTTTTACATAGAATGGCAGCTTATAAATATTTTGAATAAATAAATAAATCTGGGCCAGAAACAGGGAAACCCCATGATGATTTAGTGCAGTATTTCTCAACCTCAGCACTTTAAGCTGTGTGGAATTCATGCTGGCTGGGGAATTTTGGGAGTTGAAGTCCACACAGCTTAAAGTTGCTGAGGTTGAGAAACACTGGTGTAGTGCAATGTGTGAACCCAATCTGTAGCTATTTATCAGGTCTCCCTGATTCTGCCACAGCACACCTGCCTCACAGTGTCTCCACTGATAGCCAAGAGACTGTCTATGGCTTTGAGTACTCCAAGCTTAGCAGTGGAAAATGTGGTAGGAAAGACTGCAGGATTTACTTGAAAGCTGCATAAGGTGGAATATTCATTTAGAGCTCTGTACTGGATTGTCTCAGCTGAAGTCTGCACAGAACATGAAGTAGCTTAAGTGAGGGAGATGGAAGGAGCAGGGGGTAAGAGAAGAGCTATTGGCCTTACCAGTTTGAATACTCCTTGGCTTTGCTCCCAGATACGCTAGGTTGACGTTTGCTTTCCGCCCATCAATGATGGGATTGGGATCTTTACAAGCTCTTTCAGCTGCAGCTCTGTCAGTCATGGTGACCTGGGAAGAAGCACACCATTTCCTTTGTAGAGATACAAGATCAAGCACAGATTTTATTTCAGAAATGCCTAATACAGCTTCACCCCAAAAGGATCTGGCAGTGATATACGCAAGGATTAAAAACGAGATGCAGGAAAAACCACCTTAAAATTCAGGCATAATCAGGAGCATGAAAATTACACATATCACCTTAAAAACTGGTTTTAAATGAGATAAACGTAAAATGCAAGCAAAGTTTTAACGTGGCAGCACAAAGAATATAGTGTGGCACAGGTGTACCTCCCATGGAATAAGATGGAACCAGAGGAGTCCACGGGAGGGGTATGCATGGCCGTATGCCTTCCAAATTGGATGGCCATGTAAATATAATAAATACATTTAAAGCCAAGGTGATGGGTACAATTGCACAATCAAAGCCCTGCCCATTTTTACACCCGCCACCTTGACTTTTTGGACCTCCTCAGGACACTCCTGGAGAGAACCTACAGATAAGAGCCATGCTTACCTATTCACTGTAGTGGCAAGGAGTCAGTTTCAAAAACCATGCCAAGATCAAAGACAGTCAACAGAATGGTACATTGTGCCTCCCTCTTGACAGAGTACAGTAATCAGATGTGTCTCCATACACCCATCACACCAGTTTGGTTTTTAAAAAAATCTATCTAACCTGATTATCCCCCATGCATGTAAATATTGGCTGGGGTTGGGCAGAGTTTACCAGTAACCATTTAATGCAGTTCAGGTTCTCTGATTCAGTAAAGAAAGTAAAAGCTTTTCTCTCCATTTTTAATTACTCATAATATCATTTTGTGACTTGAAAACCTGTATACCCTTTTGTACTATTTTGGTTTGCCCTACTGAATTTATTACCCAGCTCAAAATGATTTCCAAACCTTCAACTATGGTGGCTAAACTATGATTTACTAAAACAATTCAAACATATTTTCAATGGCTTATTTTGAGCCTAATTTGGCTGATCTGAAAAAGCTAACTGGGGTCAGACCTTATTAGTATCTTGTGGCACCAGTCAGTACTTTGGCCCAGTTTGATGAGGAACCATTAATAAGTCCTCTCTGAATATACTTTTAAAGCCAAGTATATATCCATTTAATTAAGCCATTCGGCCTTAACAATTTAACTAGCTTGCTAATCGGAATGTCATGGAGTACTCTGTCAAATAGTTTGTGGAAATCAAGATATACTATGTCTGTAAGATTTTATAATATACTAAGGAAAGATGCTGATGAAGCAAATCAGGTAAGGTTAGTCTGACAAAATTTGTTCTTGAGAAATCCAAGTAACATTTTAATAAATTAGAAGTTAAAATCATTTGGTCTGCTCCTAGAACTGAGAATTAAAAGGGACATTTAAAGCACAATACGACATTGGCTGGGTTCCCACATTGCTCCAATGTGTGTATCACTGATCTGAGCTTAGCACAATGGGTAAGCCAACCATTACATTTGTAAACCCTGATTTATGGCTAGTCCTGCATCAACCAGACCTCATAAGTTCTTGTTGAAATGCAAATTATATCAGTAAGACATTGACATTGGTGGTTAGATGTTCTGCCCTTTTATTTGAATTTAAAACCAGCTAATTGGTTTATGTATGACAGCCAATTTGATGCAATGGTTAAGGCACCAGGCTAGAAACCAGGAGACTCTGAGTTCTAGTCCCACCTTGGGCTTCTAGTCCCTCTCTCTCAACCTCAGGAAGAAGGCGGCAAGGGAAAACCACTTCCAAAAATCTTGCCAAGAAAACTGCAGGGCTTTGTCCAGGCAGCCACCAGGAATTAACACAGAGTCAAAACACTCTTCCCCCAAAAATTAGTACTGTAGATTACGTATCCTCCATTGGGTAGGCTTGAAGAACACCAAATCACTTCATTGTTCACTCCAAAATACAAGTCCCTTAGCAAGAAAAGAAAGTGAAACTTTATTTGGTGGAACTTCACAGTTGCATCAGGGGTGAGGTAAGAGTTCACTTGCTGGTCAGGAAATTGAGCCTCACCTGTTGCTCCTAACAACAGAAGATTTCCTCTTTTTCTGGAGTTTTAAGAACACAACCCAAGCACAGGAAAGGGATGAATTGTACAAACGCTTGCACTTCCAATCCCTAGCATCTTTAGGAAGGGGTGTGGAAAAAAATGCTCCTTTCTGAATTCCCAGCAAATTGGCTCTCTCTGCAGAGCACACTTAACCAGATCAGTTGCAGGAGGAGTCACACAATCACTGAACCTCAGTCAGGAGTGGGGTAGGAGAGAGTTCATTTTAATCCCAAGCAGCCCTGAGTTTGTCAGGGTTAAGCTACCTTCATCTGGTCACCTATGCTGTGTGGATATTATTATTCAGTCGAAAGTGGGCTACTTTCTACCCCTCATCCAGTCATTTCTCTAAGACAGTGTTTCTCAACCTTGGCAACTTTAAGATGCGTGGACTTCAACTCCCAGGATTCCCCA